AAAAAAAAATCAACATCTCAGCCTCACAAGGTTACTCATTTGATTGATCTATTATGTCTGCAAGCGTGTTTCTTAACATTAATGACAAGCTAAATTTATATTGTCTTGTGTAAAAAGAAAAAGAACATACAGTTCTGTCAGCAGATGGTAACAGAGATTCTGCCACTTAACTCGCACGTAAATAGAGAATAATTTAGTTGAGATAGTAACTAAATCTTTCTTGTACTTACAGGAAAAGTTCCAGTGATCAAGCTGGGTCTGCCTTTAGGATATGGATTTCCAGGTATCATTCCACATGAGGAGATCATAGCTACTGGAGCCTTGCAGCCGACCTTACAAACCTAACAAGACAATTTTTAAGAATGAATCGATGAATTTCTTTCAATTGTTAGATAAATAGTTGCTTAACTCATTCATCTCACAAATGCTAATGCTTTTATCAATAAAAATAATATTTATTAAAGAATAAGTGGCCTTGAATTTTAGTTTCTTTTTGAGTGCAGACCTGGTCTAATATTCTGCGAGCACGCTTCTTCTCAGACAAGTGCGTTCTGAACAGATCCTCAACAGGCCGATAATTCTGAGCATCTGAAATATTCCTGTATGGAAATGGACATACAATTTAATACCCCATAAATCAACTGAAAACAAAGAGGATTTAAAGACTAGATTAGACCGTAGGATTGCATTTTATAATGTACTCACAGAGCAATTGATTCCAAGACAACAAGTCTGTCCTTTGTGAAGGTAAAGCAGTTCAGGATGTTGGCAACTTTGGTTGTAGGGATCGCAACCATTTTCTAAAGGCAAAAAAGAGGAGCAGATAAATGATCAAGACTCCATTTTTAACGTATATTTAAGAGATAGCCTGTATCTCTGGTGAAGAAAGGCAGCCACTCTAGAGGGATTACTGTGATTAGTGAACCTTTAGCAACTTTGGTGTAATTTTTGTCTATGCTAAAATTAAGTTTCAGGCAGCTTACATGCTCCAGTGCTTTTACTGCTTTGATCTGAGGTTCTGCCCATGAGAAGTACTTCAGGATTTCCACTACCTGCATGTGAAAAAATACAATTTTAACACAGTAAAAGATGGAAAAACTCCATATTTGACAATAACTGACATGAGATTGATAGATTACCTGCTCACTGGAAAAATATCCATGGACCTGCTCTATAGCTCTGACCCGCTGGTCTGTCAGGACGCACTGAAACAGAAGATCAAGCGTAAACAAAACTGCAGAGGACGAATTAGACATTTGAAATCAGAAAGAAATGTAATACCTTTCTTATCTCATCCAAGACTATGTCAAAAGATTTCTTATCCATATTGTATTATTTATGCACACGGTGCCTCCTGCCGATAGTTGATTACAAACTGACGTTAACAGTCAATGTGATGTTTAAATTATACAAATAAGGTCAGTTAAAATGAAAAGCATCCGCATCTGAATACGTTCAAAATAGTTTTTTTTTTTGTTTTTTTTTCCTCTCTTGGCTTCTGGTAATAATTCATTTATCGGCGAATCCGAGTTTTAATATATTGTATGTATGCAGCACAATATTTGATAACCGCATGGCTAAAATACCCATTTAGCAATCAGCTCTTAGATAGTGAACAATGACTACCAAACAGCAGAGTTGTCTGCAGGGCACAACCAGCTCAGGCTGCAGCTAACAACAGGCTAGCGTGCTACAGTTATCCCCATCGAGACCGCGATGCGAAGAAAACGTGCTTATAGATATAAAACATGTATTGGAAGAGTCAAGGAGATAACGCTTGTTCAAGCAGTCTGCAAATAAAATTAAAATTGGTAAAAGAAGTTTTAAAACAATATTTAAATCAAACTAATACGTGGAGGAAAATACACAAGTTTAGCTAGCTGCTACTGACAGCTGGCGGCTAACGTCAACAACGAAAGGACCCCCGTTAGAGCGCCTGATCGGAAACAAATATCGATAAAGTAATATTACATTAAACAATAATAAATTCAAATATTAACCTCTAGAGTAGTTAATTTATAGTTATTTAATTTGACATTGGTTACATTTGAATTTTAAAATTTGTGTAATGTCATTGATTCTCGGCAGGCGATTTTTAAACAGCCCACAGGAAGTAAGTACAGAACAACTGTTTGTAGCAATAGTTATTTTTGCGTTTTTCTTGTCAAGAGTTGAAATGGACCGGTTTTCGTGGTCAAATGGGCTTTTGGAAATAAACGAAACTTTAGTGATACAGCAAAGAGGTGTCAGACTATATGACGGTGATGATAAGGTACAGTTTTCTCATTAGTAAGCCTTTTTTTCCGCTTTTGGTTACCAGAACATGGCAGCAAAATTGTAAATAGAATTTCTGTCGCATTAGATTTTAGAGCATCCCAGCATTGGGTATTTATTACGTGTTTATAAATGTTGTGTAAAACTGTTGTTATATTGCAGCATTGCTTCCTTGTTTTATAACCAGGCAAAGTTGAATGTCGGAGCTGCCTTGTTGAGTACCCATCGATTGATCTGGAGGGATGCAAATAATCATGTGAGGCAACTTCTACAATTCAAAAACATTAAATAAATATGTTTTTACATCTAATTTTACTTTGATCGCTTAGTCAATTGTGTGCTGTAAATTAGCAGTTCACACATACAAAAATTTTACCATATAAAGGATTCTCCCTTTCTTGATTTAACATTTAACCTGATTGTTTTGCAACAGATAATGCTAGAAGGTATTATTTGTGTTTGCTGTAATAATGACTTGTTTATTTCTTTTCCAATTTGGCAGGACTGCTGCATGGCCATGCCCTTGTCTCAGATAATTTTCTTTGAGGAACAGGCTGCTGGAATAGGAAAGAGGTACGCTGATCAGATTACAAAAAAAAGATCAAATATAATAAAAACAGTCATCGAAAAATATCTTGACAATATTTGTTAGCATTTTCATTTTCTTTGTCTTGATTTTATTTTCCTTCTTTTCCAATTACCTATTTAGGCCGTTTATTTACTAATCAGTCACTTAAAGTTTATGTAGATATAGCTGATACTATCAGATTGAAATTAAACAGGACACGTGTCAAGCTTTGTTTTTGTGAAACTATTTCCATTGTCAAAGAGGTGCACGATAAATTGTCACGATCTTCATCTCAGTGTCAGTATGTGAAATATGTGAGCCATGCTTTTAAACTCTGCATCCTGATATATACTTTTACCCAGATGGTGCACCTTCTTTGCCTTCTATGCTTGCATTAAATTAAGATTCTAATGCCTTAGATGCCTAAGCTGGAATATTATGATGATAAAAAAGAAAAAGATTCCAGAAAATGTGATTAGTCACAACTAGTTTTGGTAATTATCCTATTGCTGTGCTTAAGGCTCAAATCTCAGTTTTTCTCTATTAGAAACAACAGCCTTTTTTTATTTTATAGTGCAAAAATAGTCATCCATCTGCATCCATCACCAGCCAACAAGGAACCAGGTCCATACCAGAACAGCAAGTACTCCTTCATCAAGCTGTCTTTCAAAGAACATGGGCAGATTGAGGTAGTCCCACATATAAGCCTTTACAGTTTGCAAGCCCTTTATCTGTAAATGTTTGTGTTCTCATCAATCTTCATTTTACATTCTTGATTACCTGGAACTGACATTGTACTCTTTAAATGCAGTTTTACAGGAGACTGTCAGAAGAGATGACCCAAAAAAGATGGGAGAATACTGCAGTTTCACAGCCTATCCCAACAGGAACTGGACCTCAGGTTAGAAATAAATCATATTAATATTTTTTCACAGATTCTGCAAGATCAGAGGATTCACATTGAAAGGTTACTGTTGTACTGGAGGTTTAAGAATTTTAAGATGTAGGGTTTTGATTTAAAAATGTTAATCCACTGGGTGGCAGTGTTCTTCACTTTTTTTTTCTATTAGTTAGATAAACATCATTGTTATTCTCTTAAATAAATTGAACTAATTTAGATTAGACCCTATCCAGTAAAAATATAAAAAAAAACAAATATATATATTTTTTTCTCAATAGGTTTTTTAACTACTGGCAGTTTTTTCTGCTGTTCTCTTTCTTTGTTCCACAGTCATGGTTACACCATTTGAATTAGTTATTTAACAATGTTTGTTTTCCTTTTCTTTGTGGTCATGTAGGCAGGAAGGACACGCGCAGTGGGCATTGTTGGCATTGAGAGAAAAATAGAGGAGAAGAGGAAAGAAACAGACAAGAACATTTCAGAGGTAATTTCTGGGAAAAAAGACAGAGGACAAAGTTTTTATTGTAATTCTGTTCAAATGTCTCAGAAGACAGAAATTGTATCTGCACCTTTTTATGTATGATGTCAAATAATATATAGAAGATATTAAATGAAGGCATTTATGTAAAAGAACAGTTTTTATTCTTGATTACCTGGAACTGACATTGTACTCTTTAAATGCAGTTTTACAGGAGACTTATTTAGAATTTAACCAACATTACCATTTTATAAACCAGTAAATATTGGAGCATGATTTAAAATATTTTGAATACTATTTTAGATCATGGACATTTTAAGCTTTAACAACCTTTTGGTGTTTGTCTTTAGGCCTTTGAGGATCTCAGTAAGCTGATGGTGAAGGTAAAGAAAGATTTCATTTGATTTTCCTGCCAATTTATGTCAAAAATCAAATACAAGTACCTTGCTAAAGTATTCATACCCCTTGAGTGTTCCAACCCTCAATGACTGTTATTGGGAATTACTTTTAATCTATACTAAGTTATTTTGAGGTAACTGTGTAGATCCAGGTTTTTCTGCAAGAAAATAAAAATTACTTTCTGTGCCATGAAAGAAAAACCTCTGACTGATGTTAATTAGTTAATTCTCAAATTTACACTTAATACTAACTAGATTACTTCTGTAAGCCTGAATTTTATTAAGGAGAATACAAAAGAATAGAATAGAATAGAATTCAACTTTATTGTCATTACATTGTCAATTGCAAAGCAACAAAATTCACTGTCTGCATTTAAACCATCCGTTTGGGGAGCAGTGGGGTGCCATTTGCGGCGCCTGGGGAGCAATGTGAGGTTTAGGGTTTTGCTTAGGAACCCAGAGTGGAGGCTATGGGGATCAATACGGGTACTTGCAACCTTCTCAGTATCAGTATCAGGGGGTTTATTTGAAAAAGCGAACATTCTTTATCTTCTTTACAGGTAAACCTATTTTTAGTTGTTCACAATCAAATAATATTTCACTGAAACACATTAATATTTTTATGTCCCAAAAATGTTAAGAATAAGACGGATAGGAATACTGTTTTTGTTATTTAGTTATAAGTTACATTTTTATGTATAGAAAGATATTATAATAGAAAGGGATTTGCTGAATTAGTCTCCAACTTGTAGGCTAAAGAAATGGTGGAACTGTCCAGATCTATTGCCAACAAGATCAAAGACAAACAGGGGGATATAACAGAAGATGAGGTAAGAATACCACCAATAAATATTAAAACCTGCTTTAAAAGCTAAAGGTTTTACCTTTAGGCTTCAAGTTTTGGATGGGTGAGATCTTATATTTCTGATAATTAACTCATTAATGCTTACGGATTAGCAATAATTTTAATTTAAGCTTTGTTCCTTTTCATAGACGATTCGCTTTAAATCTTACCTCCTGAGCATGGGCATTGCTAACCCTGTTACTAGGGAAACACATGGATCGGGTACACATTATCATATGCAGTTGGCTAAACAGCTAGGTGGTATGCTACAGGCTCCTCTTGAGGTGGGTGTCTCATCTGTCTGCTATCATCAAACAAATAAACCAAATTTCGGTACCATGTTTTTCATTTTCCTCTTGCGTGTAACTTTTCTACCCCTTCCTTGCTGTCTTTCAGGAGCGAGGAGGTATGATGGCTCTTACAGAGGTGTATTGTCTCGTCAATCGTGCCAGAGGGTTGGAGGTGATGCTCACATGTTGATCCTTTCTGCTGACTTTTCTCTGCAAGTGTGACAACTTAGTGATTTTCTTTTTTTTCTCGTTTTTTCCCCCTTTAGCTTTTATCTCCTGAAGATTTATTAAACGCATGCAAAATGTTTGAGTCCTTGAAACTCCCCCTGAGGTGAGTTTGAGGTTGTATTGCATTGTTTAAATTATCTGTGTGCATTACATTCCTTCAGTTGTAGAGCGGGTTAAGTGCTCAGTACTTAGGACGAAGCTGACCAGGCTCTTCCTGCCTGGCTTCCTGTTGTGCGAAGGGCTGTCCAGGCTTCCGCAGCTGTCATTTCCTGTTACTTCCTGTGGTTTTGGAAAAACATTGGTCAAGTTTTTCCATGTTGGTCTGCACTACTGGTCTTAGTAAACCTTTATTAATTACTACGAAAAAAAGGATAATTTCTTTTATTGTTTTTTTTTTTCTTTACCAAAAAACTTTATTTATTTTATATTGGTTTAATCTGACAGTGGATCACAAAATAGTCCAAGGGGGAAAAAAATGGATTTCAAAATCTGTATACACTTAAAAACCTGACAAGTCAACCTGTTGCCTTCAGGATTATATTTAATTTCACTGTTACCTTATTATTTTATTTCAGTTACTCCGCAACTTTAACATTTGACAAAAAAGTGAAAAACCCACATACAAAATGGCGTGATTTAAAATGCGTCTGAGGAAGAAGGAAATCTGTTACCTGGCCAACAAATGCTGTGTAATTCTGTCTGTGAAGGCTATACAGCACAATAATTTCAATCTGTTATAGCTGTATTTTTACATCATATATTGATTTTACTGCTACGGCCTACAAGGTTACACATAGATGTATTTTTCATTCAAATGCCCTTTTTTTTTTTTCTTTTGCGACGTGATGGGTGAAATCTAAACAGCAGTTTTGACTACATGCATGTTTTTTGCAGTTTTGCCTCAGAGTTTCCTGTGTCATTTGTTTTTAGCATGTGGTATCCATGCATGACCCATTTGCTCACTGTCTTTTCTCTTGTTTTTTTTTTCCATGCATCGTGGTTATTGTGTAGGCTGCGTGTGTTTGACAGCGGTGTGATGGTGGTCCAGTTGCAGTCTCACAGTGAGGAGGAAATGATAGCCTCTGCTTTGGACAATGTAAGCCTAATCTTTAACAAGCATAACACCATAATATAGGTCTCCTATAATATGTTCTGCTAACTGCGCTGAAGATTTCATATATTTAGCTTTTCTTTGTGTTTTTTGTATTCAATCCCAGGTGACAGAAAAAGGCTCCCTCACAGCAGAGGAGTTTGCTAAGCTCTTAGGTCTTTCTGTTCTTCTGTCTAAGGAGCGGTGAGTTAAAATTCAATTCAGTTTATTTATATAGCGCCAATTCACAACACATCTCATTTTAAGGCACTTTGCAGAGATAAGCTCCCCACTGTCGCTACAAGCATGCTTGTAGCGACAGTGGAGAGGAAAAACTCCCTTTTAACAGGAAGAGACCCCCAGCAGAACCAGGCTCAGTGTTAGCAGCCATCTGCCAAGACTGACTGGGGTTCAAGGAGATATAAGTAGAGATACAGAATGAAATAGAGATACAAAAGGCAACCGTCAACCAGCTCGACTGGTGGCCCTGTAATGGAAACACACAGCCAGGCAGACAAACTACAAACCAGCTCCCATGTTACAGGATTAATGTGAGCACATAGAGTTAGTCACAGTCAGAGAAACAGGACTACACTGAAAAACTGGCCAAACTCCAGCATCTAGAAACAAAGGTGTTGATGGCAGCAGCACAGCTGATATTTCTTTCCAGGATGGTGTCACAGTCAAACAAGAACAGACAAGATGAAGCTACAATTATGAGAAAAAGCAGAGAGAGTATAAAGTTAGAGATTGAACTAACAAATTCTGTAGATTGGGAGAATAGAGATAGAAAGCTATCTTAATTTCTGTCTTATTTCTGACAGATGATTGTCATTTTGATTGACTTTGTTGCTTCTATTATACTAATTTGCTCCTCTTGATGTTTGTTCTGTTTCCTTTTCGTTCTCAGGTTGTTGCTTGCAGAGAAGATGGGCCACCTTTGTAGGGATGACTCTGTTGAAGGGTTAAGATTTTACCCTAACTGTTTTTGATCTACTAAAACATTAGGGTATCTCTCTCCACAGTTATAGGAAACATAAATACATGTTGATACTAAAGTCGGCCTGGTGATGACATTTGGTTGTTATTTTCTATATTTTGATAACCTAAGCATTGGGGCAAGTTCTCTAAAATTATTGCAAATGAGGAAAATATATTCTACATTACTCTACTTGGTAAGAGGCTCATTGAGGTGTAATGCAAAGTGGGGTTGGTGACATTTACTTACAGCTCTGTCTGCTCATTTGATGTATGTTTTCCTTTTTCCTGGTGATCCAGGCCTATTTAAAGCTTGCACGGTGTTAGGAAAGGCCCACAGGCTCTAGTATTTGGATCCTTTGTTTCAAAGTAAACAAAGAATTTCTACAATACATGCAAACTGGGTTGCAAACTTTTTCTGTTTTCTTTAGTGTTGAGGAATTTGCAAACATGTCTACATGTGCAGCATTTCAGCAAATCATGTTAATTCAAATGTTTTTGCAATTTTTTTTTTTGTTTTTTCTCTACTGTCTGTCAAAATGATGTAAACTTGTTTTATGATTTTATTTTTTTTTGTGTACCGTGGGGCCAAAATTAAATAAAATGGTTATAAAGTTTCCCATCAATCTGCGTCGTCTCCTTTTGGTCCCAGTTCCAAATATTTGACCTCCATCTTAGAAATGTTTTGTTGTATTTAACTCCTGTAACTGAACACAAATCAAAGCAGAAGCTGCATATTCTGCAAAAAAATATCCGCTGAGGCACTAATCCTTGTGTAAAATCTAAGCATTTAGCCATATGCACCAGTCCTCAGCCACACCTTTGATTTTTTGTCTTTGATCCGTGCTGAGCTTTTGAAACTCAGAATCAAATCATCCTCTGTCCCCAATGTGAACCGAGCTGCCCAGTAAACTGTTTCATCCCCACAGAAACTTCCTGTTTTTTGCCTGCTCTGTTTGAAGGAAAAAAATGAAGGTCAGTGAAGCTGATTAGATTAGCTTGACATGTGGTTCACTCATTGATAATAGCTGGGCTGAATTCACTCAGGAAATCTGACTTGAGGCAAGTAGTTAAATTTGAGTAAATATTGAAAATTTGCTTGTTATTCTTAAATTTGCAAGGTGGAAATAACTAGTGCATTTCACAAATATAAATCTGGAATAATATTTTATCTCAGATTTTGTTATATGACTTAAAAATCTACATATGAAGAAGCTGACAGAGTAGGATACTTTTTTCTATTCTGCTACATAAATTGCATTTGCTGTGTGCTACATATGCTTCAAATACAGTATATCTTTATACTGATAAATGGCTTAAAGCAGGAGGCTTTTTAAATCAATGCAATAGAGCTGTTCTGGAATGAAGAGTCTCAGCCTGTCTGATATATGATGGCGGCAATAAGATAACTTTAAACCAATGCTGTACTTGCATGTTGTGTGTGAAGTTAAATTGTTTAACTTGAAAATTCAAATCAACCAGTAATCAAGTTTTCACTTTATTCTTCACTAATAGAGTTTTGTTCTGACTGACTAACTGCTTACTGACCAACACCAGTAGACTCATGCTGACTTTGCCCAACTGGGAATCAGAGTTAAAGTAAGGAAGAATATTTTAGTGTGCCCAGATCTTTACTCTGCATACTGTACATCTGAGCTGAAAATATATGGATTAATCCAGAAAGGTATGGAAGAAAAACAGCCTCATTGGAATTTGCCATTTTCTGTACATCAAATTTTAAACACTGTATTTTTATATGGTTAAAATTCCCCTGCAAAAAAATTCACCAGCAAAAGATTCAGCTGCAAGAAAATCATCTAATATGACAAATTTGTTATTAATAAAGGGTTAATAATAAATTATAAATATAATAAAAGTAATTAATGTTTTTGCATTACATTCCTTGTGTAATATGATTTCAGTAATACTTCATTAAAACTTTTCAAACATTACACACTACAAAATGAATAATAAAAGCATGTATTGTCAATGCCGATATAGTTTCAGATTAATATCTGTATCGGTCAACATCTAAGGGTGCAATATTGTTATTGTAATAAAAAAAAAAAAGGTCTATTAGGACATTCCTAATTGCTAATGAAAATAATTGACAATAGTTGTAAAATAACATAGGAATAAAAAAAAAGTACTAAAAAGTTGTAAAATAAAATGAAAATGACAAGAAACCAAATCCAACTTTATCAAACACTTAAACATAGCAAGAGAAGAAGCAAGTGATCAAGTGATACAATTGACTATTAATGTATATGGTGACATATTTAGATTAATTCACCAAAGTTAAATTTTTAAAAGTAAGTTATACATTGAATTCATTACTATTATTTATTGAACTTTATTCTAAAAAAAAAAAATAAAAAAAAATGCCTATGCGGGTCTAATGCTATCATTGCAGAGTAGACACTTACCAGTGGGATTTTAGGGTCTATATTTGATGAGCAGTTCCAATTATTTCATGAGTCTTGTTCAAAACAAAATCATGGAAATGTTATATAAAGGACATGTGACTTTTTTCAGGGATATGCCAATCCTTCAAAACCTAACATGTTTAATGGATTATGGCACTTTCGGACTTCCATATTGGTTTATCATCGGTTATAAACATAACATTTCAAATATTCCTTTCTCAATCATTAAATGGAATTAAAATGTAAGCAATTATTAGATAAATGCCTACAGCTTTTAACTGTCAGTGGGGATTGATGGCACGCGCTCTGACGCTGAAACAATAACGCGCTACAGACTTCCCCTGGATCCGGACCGCTGGCTGGAAGCGAAACTCTGATCATTTCAACGTTGCTTTAGCGAAAACTGGACGGAAACTAAATACGTAAGTTCAAGATTTTTTCCCTTAAATTGAGCAAAGACATATAATTCACCATGTCTACTATGCAAAATAAGCTGTACATTTATTTCATAAATTACTATTATAACGATCTGAAAGAGCAAGGCTTTGGAATTATATGCGGGTGGTTTAACATTTTGATTCATGTAGTTTAATTTACAACATCTTTTCCACTTTATATGTCCAAACACATTTCAAACCAAGTGCTATTAAAGTATTTGACTAAATCCTACGTTTTCTATATTTTAGGTCATGCCTTTCTTCTTTTTTTTTCTTTTTATTATTTCTTTGATGTGACACAACATGTCTTGTGCAGATTTTTATTTACGATTATTGATTTGCTGCTGTATTACGTCACAATTTTTATTCAAATGTTGTTAGTTTCAATTACATTATTATTATTTTTTTTTTTGTATTTTGATAAAATTATTTCCTAGAGGTCTCATCATTCTGGTATATTAATATGTTAATATATATTCAAGTGGGTAGAAAGTTTCTCTGATCTTAGTTCAAATAAAAAGGGAATCTGAAATAATTTAAACTGTAAAAATACCATGCTGATAAAACTTTATTCATTATTTCACATGTTTTTACCCCACTGTTAAATGGTGACCAAAAAAATGACAGCAGCCAAATTGATTCATCCATCCATTTTCCCCCACGGTTATCCCAGGGAGGGTTGCTTGTACCTATCTCCAGCCGTTTACAGGCAAGAGGTGGGGTCAACCCTGGACAGGTTGCCAGGGCAACATGGAGACAAATAGGAGAAAACAACCATTCACGCACAAACTCACACCTAGGGAGAATTTAGAGAAGCCAATTAACCTACGGTAACAGTCATGTTTTTGGACTGTGGGAGATGGCCGGAGTACCCAGAGAGAACCCACGCATATTCAGGGAGAACATGCAAACTATGTCTCATTTAATATGTCTCATTAATTTCCACTTAAATGTTTTTGTAATCTCACTACCAATACAGTATAAAATGGGGAATTCTGTATTGACATTTCATTTTGAGATTTTACTTTTTTCCTCCTTTTAATTGCGTCTGGATTCACATCAGTTCAATTCAGTTTATTAATATAGCACCAATTCTAAACACATGTCATCTCAAGGCACATTACAGTTTAACAAGATCATACAGTCAAATTGCTTCAAAGTTTTCTATCTAAGGAAAACCAGTTGATTGCATCGACTCATTGACTCGAATGCAATCCCTCATTGCATCAGCAGCCTGAGATATAATACTATTCAAACCACAAAGAACGCCAACCAGAAAAGATGTGCAGCCGCCCACAAATACAACTTTATTCCTTGTTTTGAACAAAGCCCTCCAGAGGAACTTAAGCTTTGTGGTGACGGCAACTCCTTGTACCCATTGTGGGGATAAAAGGAAGAGGAGGACCAACTTTAAAATCCAGAAAACTGGTGTTTATTGTTTCATCTTATGAGCTTCCTGTTGTTCATAGCTCAGTGGAAAGAAAAGCCTTTCTGAGTGTCTTTGTCCATTTGAGACTGCAGCCTTTGTACAAGATTATGTTTTTTTAAGCAATCAAGATTTTGACCTGTGATTTATAGATGTGAATCACGGTGGGGAGAGATGGTCATGTGGTATAGAGGGAAGAAAGGACACAGACATCGGAATGCCACAGGCTATCTCTCTGCTGGCCTTCCTTCTTGTGCTCATAGGATACGGTAAGTTTTTCAAACGCTATCATCTTGAATTGAAAATGTAGAATTTTTATCAAATAGCAAAAGGATATAAATTGTCTTTTTAACACAATTGTGCAGCTTTCCAGTCTATCATTTAGTACGGTGAAACAAGGTGTTTGACAAAGTTTATGATGGTAAATGGAATCATTACAATGTATGGGCAGCTGCTGCCATTCCATTTTTGCTTTGCTCCAATTTGAAATGCTGTGACTCTGAAACTGTGCTTGGATACTCAGAGGAACCATTAAAAGTTGGTATAATATCAAACTTAAAAAGTTAGACTCGTACAAAACATGACAGATTACTATGTTTAATGTTGCCACTTTCTAACAAACGCCAGCTTGGACTGATTGTTTGCAATCATTTGCAGAGGCTAACGTAAAACAAATTAGAATTATTATTTTGTACAATATATGTTTTCCCTATATCCTTGCTCAAGATCGGCAACATATATGTTAATTTGCACTTACGCTTAGTGTTCACAGTAATTCACATGAAACAAAGCAAATTTGATGAGATGCTTCTTTAATTATGGCATCTTGTGTTTAAGATCAAATTTTAGTAGATGAGTTGTCCGTAGGTGTTGACTTTAAACTTTTAAAGTATGTTCAGCTCTGCCACATTGTTCAGCTCATCGGATAGTTTGTAAACAGCCTCTGTCTTAAATCTGCACACAGCCATCAAAAGAGCAAATCTTGAAATATTTACTTTATTTCACTCTTTTTTTAGTCTTGCAGATAATGTGATGTAAAATAGCAGTGAGGGCACAGGTGGATAGATGGATGGATGGATGGATGGATGGATATGCTTTTTTTGTCTTTTACTTTTTAAACCCTGTTTATTTTTCCTCTCCATTAATTTATTCCTATCCTCTTTCCATTTCTCTATGCATTTCTTCCTCATTTTGCAAATGAGGAGGGGTTGGTCTCAAGTAGTTTGGATGGTTGCATCCAGTCTACAT